TTCCTAAATTCCAAAATAACAAAATTACAGTCCCTAAATTCCACCACTTCAAAACTCTCAAAATTCCAAAATTCCAAAATAACAAAATTACAAAGTTCCAAAATTCCAAAATTCCAAAATTCCAAATTTCCAAAGTCCCTAAATTCCACCACTTCAAAACTCCCAAAATTCCAAAATCCCCTAATTCAAAAATTCCTAAATCTCCCTACAATTCAACATCCACATCTAACCTCCCAATGTTCCCCAAAACCTTACGTCAGCCAACCTAACCTGTCAAAGCCAACATAACCTGTCAAAGCGAGCCTAACCTAACCACACAAAGCAACCAAGTAAAATTAAAAGCGAATGAATATGTATGAAGCGTACTTGGAAGATGGACGGGATTTTTATCGGCGTTAGAATAACGATAAACGTTCAAGCGGTGCCAAAAATGTCACGCTTAATATAATAGTCGATCGATCAACGAGTTGACCCAGGTCTAGATGTCGAGAGTCTCGAGCCGGGGACAGAGATCGAGTAGGATAAGCATCGTTGTGCTTGATACGGCGGAACGGGGTAAGAAATCTTAATGATGAAAATCGCGACGCTGTCTTGGGAGAATAATGATCATTACTCGGTTCTTCGTGCACTTTTCCGTGTTGTTCACCAGCTACAAATTCGCGAATTTGTCATGAGTTTAACCTAATCAGAAACACCCGGCGAGACCACTCCAAAGAAGAGACAAAGAACGGCGGAAAGAACAGCGTCATAGAATCGCAGACGTCCTCGAATCTCCGAAGGAACAGAATTTCCAATCAACCGTACAAACGAAGCTCCGCGGATTTCGGTTTACCGTTGTTTCCGCAGAGTACACAAGCTCTCGCTTCGTTGAATGGCTTCGCTTGCGTGGCTCCGAAATCAAAATACCGCGTGTGCCATGTAACGCGACGCACGTAAAAGAACAAAGTTTCTTATCCGTGTTCGCAGCTCGGATTATCAGTCCGGAACGTCGAAGCGCGTCTGGTGACGAAACCGAGAAGCTCCGGATCTCAGTCTCTCCTGCGAAAATGGACGAGACAGCAACAATTTCGCCGACGCTGATTTTCGCGCGAACAAGCAACACTTTCCCGCGCTTTCTTTCCCGAAGTGTTCTTCGCATAATCGCGCGGCTCGATACGGCGCCCGATCCCGCGACTTGGCCCTCGAAACGTTGTAAAAATATATTTTCATTTTTAATAAAATGTCGAGGGGCGAGCCGCAAAATCGGGTCGATGGCGCGAGGAATATTTTGGGAAAGTAGGAGAAAATGTTGCTTCTCGAAAATCTTGCGTCGAAACTGTCCTCGTCTCGCCATAGAAGGGGAGACCTATGAGGGTCTTGGGTGGTGAGGGTCTTTGTGAAGGGAAAGGGTGGTTCTCGAAACTCTTAAGAGAAGTGGTACATAATTATTTGATCCGTGATTTTTTTCAACGACCCTAAACCAACGAGGACAGTCAGGTGATTTGCTGAACCCGGAAAAAGAAGGCGAAAACGAGGAAGAGTCTACGACAAACTGAAAATCAATAACCACCGTGCAAAATACTCGAGGACCGAGGAACAAAACCGCGTTAATACCGTCAGCGAAAATACCACGGAAATAGAAAGGATTAACGTCTTAACCATAAGCTGCGCGACCGGGGAAAGAAGAGAGTAACGAAAGAACAAACGTTTAGCTACTGAACACGGATCCCTTGTTTAAGAGGTTAGACTACTCTCGACGACTTAAAAAATTATACATTTTTTTTTAATTTTTATAATTCTCGGTGACGCTAAGCTTCTTTCGGTTTTTTTTTTAAAGGAGACGAATTAGTAAAGCAGAGATTTTCAGTTCCTGCTGTAATAATTAAATGAGGAAAAGATGTAATTAAAACTGTGAAATACAGATCTTTTCTGGGGATGTTTTGTTTGTACGCGAGAACTTTTGTGTGAAGTTCTTAATTTTAATAAATAAATTTTATAGGAAATGTTGTCAGGTTGAGAACCTCTATAAAAGAAAATTAAAAAGTTAAACTGAATGTGTTGTTTTTTGAGGAATGACTTAAATTAGATATTTGCAAGAAATATAGAATAATTCCTCAGGCCCGAAATTCAGGATCGTAAAATTATATTAATTTGTTTAAATTATGCTGTGGTGCTTGACATTCTAAAGAAAAGCTTCGTTATTTACAAAAGTATTAATTTAATATAAAAAACACTGCTGCGAGTACTTGACGGACGGAAGTGCTCGTTATATGACTAATAAAGTGGGAATAACTTGACCCAGTTGGGAAAGAAACGAAAAAATAATAAGTACCTTCATTTCTCCTACTTTATTAGTTTATAACTAAAGATATTGATCACTATAATTTATTATAGCCTGTAATTCAACAGAGTCGAAATTAATGTGACAATTAATGAAACAATAAAAATAAGACAAAATATCACTGATACAAAATAATAGAAAGTGTTAATAAAAAATAATAAAATGTACAAATGTAATAATATAATAAAAAAGTAATAATAATATAATAGTAAATGTCAGAATAAAGAAAGAATGTATTAATAAAAAATGAGAGACAATAATAAAGAAAAGAATGTAACTCTTGTTTCCAATATGGCGTCAGTAAACTTTTTAAGCTTCGATTGTTGTTCTCGAAGTTCACCTAAATTTAGGGATATAACTTATGTTTATTAGGAAATTTACTTGAAGACTACAATGTTAGTAAGCTCTCAAACTCCACGTTAAAGTTTGTTGCGATGTTTGTACAGCGATAGAATAAATTCCCTTCTAGATACTGTTGAAACTTTCAACATTAATATAAAATATAAATTACAATAAACGGTCTAATATATTTTATTATAACACGCTATATATTTTGTAAATATTACATTGAGGATTTAAACTTTTGTGAATGTCAAGATTTACAGGAATAATTAGTTTCAATCTGTAGAGTCTTGAAAAAACGACCGCCATTTTGCAGCGAAACCGCGCGAAATTCAATTCGTAAATAATGGTGCAGCTTACCTACAAGACAGAAATTACCTATACAATAAATTTTAATAATAATAATAATTACAAATATATTCCAAATTATTAAAATTTAAAAATGAAATTTTAAAGTTTTAAAAAGTGGCTTAAATTGCTGACCTAAACTTATTATTTCTGCCTGTGATTAGATCTGCGGATTTAACAAAGGAAATCAATCATGGTTATAACAAAGTCTCGCTTTAAGACCCATGAATCTACTAATTAACATCCACGACTTCTAAAATAATGAATGAGAACTGTAATTACTAAAAAAAATTGATGTGTTCACGATAATGTAGTTGAAGAAGTAAAACGTTATCTCCTGAATCAGTTCTTAAATAAATATAAAATAACCATTTGAAAATCAATCAAAGTGAAGGGTACTTAACTAAAACTCGATTTAATGAACTCCGTTGTACACCCTTATCGTGTTACTGTACAAAGAAATTATAGATTAATATAGTTCATTACACGTAAAACTTTACTGATCGAATCAGTTACACGCGAACAGTTACCAACGTTATTTTTAACTGATCAGGATTTACAGTAACTCATTTAATTAATTTCCTTCAGAAACTCGCGGATAATTTATCAAGCACCGACTGAAATTTCGCGGAGCCAGTATTACGCCATTTATAGAAGTGAGCATTCGTATTTTATATTTGCTTGATATTTGTTGTTGTTTTAAGGCGGGGAAGATTACAATTTTCAAATTTAATTAGAAATTAATTTGGCAGGTTTCAAATTCTGAAATTGGTAAAGTGGATTTTGTAAATTTTTGAATTGATAGACTTATTAATTTTTTATTTCTCAAATTTCTCCAATTTCTCGAGATTCTTAAATTTTTCTAATTTCTCAAGATTCAACATTTTTTAATTTCCCAGATTCCCTAAATTCCCTAAATTCTGAAAATTCCCCCGATTTCTAAAATCCCAACATTCCTCAATTTTCCCCAATTTCTAAAATGCCAAAATTTTCCAAATTCCCCAGATTCCTAAATTCCCAAAATTCCCCATATTCTCCAAATTGCTCAACTTCCTAAAATTCCCCTGATTCCCAAAGTTCCAAATTCCCAAATTCCCCAGATTCCCAAAGTTCCAAATTCCCAAATTCCCCAACTTCTTCAAATTCCCCAAATTCCCAAAGTTCCAAATTCCCAAATTCTCCAACTCTCTAAAATTCCCCAGATTCCCAAAGTTCCAAATTCCCAAATTCCCCAACTTCCTCAAATTCCCCAGATTCCCAAAGTTCCAAATTCCCAAATTCTCCAACTCTCTAAAATTCCCCAGATTCCCAAAGTTCCAAATTCCCAAATTCCCTAACATCCTCAAATTCCCCATATTCCCAAAGTTCCAAATTCCCAAATTCCCCAACTTCCTCAAATTCCCCAGATTCCCAAAGTTCCAAATTCCCAAATTCTCCAACTCTCTAAAATTCCCCAGATTCCCAAAGTTCCAAATTCCCAAATTCTCCAACTCTCTAAAATTCCCCAGATTTCCAAAGTTCCAAATTTCCAAAATTCCCCAGATTCCTAAATTCCCAAAATTCTTAAAATTCCCACAAATTTCCCAAATTCCTAAATTTTCCAAATTCCTAAATCCCACGGTATCAAGACTATTTCCCCAAATTCTAAACTCCAAATCCCAAAATCCTTAATCTTGAAATCGCCAAACGTCGAAAATCCACCGAACCGAATCCCCTAATCCGACTATCACGTTCGCCGAAGCATAGATTTGCCATGGACTGTACATGCCACGTCCCCCAGGATATTCCCAACATTTCACGCCGTTGCTTTCCGCTCGGTAGGCGCAAAATGCCCTCCCGTCGTTATCCGGCATCCGTAAAACAAACAGTGCATCACGCCGGTTAATTATCGGCGAATAACTGCGGCATAGTTTCGGCTTATCGAGAACGAAACAGATCGAACAGGCGTCAGAAGACGCGGCAAGGAGTAGGGTATCAGCAATGCACTTACCAGACAGGTGACGGGCGCGAGCACGACCCAGCTGAGCCACCAATAGCAACGCAGGAAAAGGCCGAACCGCATTTGCATTTCGGCGATGTTACGCAGGAATTTGTTGCAGCCGTAACACCAGGATACCGCGCCAACCTCGGCGATGCCGATCAATAGTATCGCCCAAGAAGCGGTGTTCCAGTCCATCAGCGTGAACAGGTAAATACCGCCGTCGAACAGCATCGGTATAGCCAACAGCCAACAAGTGACGCATATACCGAGCACCACGTAGCTCTCGTGTTTCCGTAAATCCGGCCGTTGGTCCAATATGGCGGTGTTTATCGCTTGCACGCCTGCGAACTGTGCGTATCGTAAAAAGCAACGACCGGCTTGCGCGACCAGGCCGATGCTCGCCCGCCGGGTATTCTCGTTACCCTTTCGTGTATTTTCATTTTTCTTTCTCCTCCTCTTCTTCGTTCTACCGTTACATTTTTTCTTTCCTCTCTCTTCTTTTTTTTTTTGACGCGGTCCGTCTTAATTACCCTTCAGCGCACTGGCTGCGGAGAGGACAGAGAAAGCATAGAGAAAACAAAGGCTCTTTCGCTCGGTTCCCCGTGAGCTCTGTCTGTCCCTGTTCTCCGCTTTCGTTTCCGTCTTGTTCGTTTACCTTTCCACGGCTCTCTCATTCGAAGGAAAAAGGCAGGAAGAAAGGTGTGGATTTCAGTGGGACGGCAAACCATAACTCTCTCCATGATATACGAGCCCCGAGGCGGACAGAGGGCCAGGCGATGCAAAAGTAACACGGCACGATCGTCTGGCTACTTGCGAGCGCATTCTCGCCCCGCAGCTCTTTTGACGAGCGCGCCCGAAACTGCCGAGGCTCACTTGAATGGCGCCCTTCTTACGGGCCGGGGATCGCCAGGACGAAAAATATTTTGCGTTCTGATTCGCAGAGGATAAGGCTCGAAACACCCTCCACGCGAACAACAACGCCCTTCAAACTTTTCAACAGCATCGTGATACGATCGGGCTTGGAAGCGCTTGTGGGCGAAGGGGTTGAGAATCTTCGCGCTTGGGATATTCGGATATTTTGAAATTCGAGCTTTTGGAAATGTGGAGACTTGGGGTGATCATTTGAGGATTTTGAAATTTGAAGAATTCAACTTCTGGATTTTGGTGATTTGTAAACTTGAAAGAGAGAATTCTTGTGAATTTTCGCACTTTGTTTTGACGGAAATTCCCAACACAATTATGAATATAATTTGAAAATTCCCCAATTGAAAAATTCACCATAAACATACTTAAAAATTAAGAAATCAAAAGATCCAGAAGTACAAACATCACTATTCAAAAATTGATTTCCACCTACGCAACGCATAAATGATCAACTAAATAGAATTAATTTAACCATGGAAAGGTAAATAAAAGTCGAACAACTTGTGGACAGGTTTGTACATTCAAGTAGCTTTTTGCGCGGTGTCCCTTTGCAATTGAAACCTATCTACTCTTTTTTTAACGAGCCTTTGAGAACCAAGCTCACAGTTGAATTCTCCGGATCGATCGTTACGTTTTCGAGAGAGAGGTGAAAGAGAGAAAGAAGAGAGAGAGAGAGAGAGCAATATAGTGTCGTTTAATGTACTTACTTGGCTACCGATACCGAGAATGAACAGCATGGCGAAGAATAGAACGGCCCAGACGTTGGGCCAAGGCATCCGTACCACTGCTTCCGGGTACGCGATAAAAGCCAGCCCGGTGCCGCTTTTGATTACTTGGCCTATCGGTAACCCCATTTGCTTAGAGAGGAATCCCATGATGGAGAATATCACGAAGCCAGCGAATATCGAGGTGAGCAGGTTCGTAATAGTCACGAAAATCGCGTCCCTGAGGACAGAAATTATGGCCGTACCAATATCTTTGAATTATCGAATAAATATGGGTGATCACGAATTTAGTGCGTTTTTGATATGATGATTGTGTTAGAAAATCAAAGGATGGTCATATGTGTAATAAGTGTGGGTACTTAGAATGGTAAGATGTACTTAAAATTTGAATAAGATTGTACATTAAGAAGTATGTAATTATTAGAAAAATGTAGAAAGTAGTGATGGGTTGGTGACATAGGTATTGAACTACAAATTCAATGACCAAGGTTCGTTCTAATCAAATTTGGAGGGATGATGGTCATACATGAAATAAGTATGGGTACTTAGAATGGTAAGATGTACTTAAAACTTGAATAAGATTGTACATTAAGAAGGATATAATTTTTACAAAAATGTAGAAAGTAGTGATGGGTTAGTGACAGAGGTATTGGACTTCAAATTCGGTGACCAGGGTTCGTTCAAATCAAATTTGGAGCAATGATGGACATACATGGTATGAGTGTGGGTACTTAGAATGGTAAGGGATATACTTAAAATTTGAATAAGATTGTACATTAAGAAGGATATAATTTTTACAAAAATGTAAAAAGTAGTGATGGGTTGGTGACGCAAGTATTAGACTTCAAATTCGACGACCAGTGTTCAAATCTCGTTGAATCAGAAATTTTTTTTATTTTAATTTTCTAACAAACTGTGACACACATGCTCCTTATTTCTCCATAATTATCCACCTAAAATAATTAAGTACATTTTCAAATTTTAAGTACAGGTGTCAACCCACGATTGAAGAGACCCAGATGTTCAAACATAGGAACATCCACATATCATCACAACGTGAGGATACAGAAGTATGTCAGATTCTGACAGATCAGTATTCATATCAAGATGACGATGTTCAGAAGAACGAAGAAGAAAGATCAAAGCTGTGAAACAGAAAATGTGTGCGATAAGGAACGAATGGGTGTAAGGTGACGTGTAAGAGCAATTAATAGCGAACGGTAAAACTTGAGCCAACCGGCGCTGGGAATTATGCTAGCCTGGTGGCGTTTGCTCATTCGACTTGCGCCATACTGATATAATTTATGCGCGATGCAACGTGCAACGAATTGTAGTCGGCCGCGAGGGGAAGTTCAGCGTCGGATAATCATGCTAATTACGACTTCGAGCAATATTTCGAGAACGTGAACCGTTCTGTCCCGGCTAGTATGATTTTACTTTAGAGGCAACGGCCGCCGCGACGGGTTTGCCTCACGAACGGCATCGTGCAAAATGAAATAGCTGACAGACGCTTTGAGCGTGTGCACAACGGTTAGATTCCCCGGTCGAAAATACCTGACCAAGCCCGGAAGCTGTAGCTTAAGCATTATGCGAGAGAATTACATTATTAGAAACTCGCCGCTGTTTGTTCGGTGCACGGAATTCCGTTCCTTGGATACGTTTCCGTTCGGAACGACCGTTAGGGAATATTAAATAGGCCTTGAATCAAAGGTTATTACTGTTGCGTGTCTTTTATCGAAAGCGGGATTAATTGATACTTGATGACTTTTGGGGCGATTGCGGTCGGAAATGATCAAGGAATGATCTTGATAACCTAACCTTGTATCTTCACATTTGGATAGTTCCTTTAGATATAAAAAGCTTAAGCTAATTTATTTTCAGCTACATAGTTCTTGTTATTAAAAATGTTATATGTCGTTATATGACTTAGATCACCTAACATCACCTAAGTTAGACCACCTAACATCACCTATGTTAATACACCTAACATCACCTATGTTAATACACCTAACATAACCTAACTTCTGTTAGATCACCTGACCTAACATAAGTTAGCTCACCTAACATAATCTAACTTAAGTTAGATCACCTTACCTAACCTAACTTAAGTTAGGCTATTCTAACAATTACATCTGTAGACAGTTACCCAAACCCTGCTATAAGATTTAGAACCTAACCTAACCTAAAGCACTAACTACACAAACCCTATATCAGATGATACCCTAACCTAATCTTGACATACTCCCTCTATTTTATATATTAAATACAAAAATTGTAATAAACAAAGCATTGAGGTTTTCACCTAAATATTTTTCTACGTATTTTTGTATAAAGGATACGTGTACATTGCACATAATTCTTTCAGCAGTCAAATGTTTCATTTGATACTATTTCATGAAGCTTTGATGAAGCAATTTCGGCTCTACGCACAAATCTCGGTGGGATAGAGTACTATCGATCGAAAATGATATCCTAAAAAAATATTGGCTAAAAATCCCCGATAAAGAAACCCGATAACTGCATGAAATACTGCACATCGTTATGATCCTATTGAAAATGCATGAAATAGCATCAGTTTAATACCTCGGACAAAATGATACTGGGTACTAACATATTCGATAGATATTAATAGTGGTTTATATAAATAAATGCAGAAAATTGTTATATCATATTTGTGGGAGTTGTTTTTTATTATGAACGAGGTTAAAATTATCAAGTATGACATGAGGTATTAACCTCTTGCTCTATTTGAACTTATCTGAACTTATCTTACACTCGTACTTCAGCTGTAATCAATTTTACTCAAATTTTTAATACACTTCAATTTGGATATCAAGTCTAATTTTAACAATAAACTTTTTTACTAAAAATTTTACCATTAACATAATACAACTTGACCCACATAAACCCAATGTCCAAATTGACATAACTATCTTTGTTTTAATACAGTAGCTGTAGACTGACAAATAAGTAGTGTGAAGGATTCACTATGAGAGATGGACTCACCTGTGACAGTTGTTGCTGAATTTACTGTAGCTTGAAAGGGTGATCAGTGAGCCACAACCGATTCCAAGCGAGTAGAACACTTGAGAGGCAGCTTGTCCCCAGATGGTGGTGGATGCTAGGTTGGACCAGTTGAAAGTGATGAACCAAAGTGCACCCTCTCCGGCTCCGTCTAATGTCACACCTGTTTCCATGATCATATGATATATTAATATCGTACTTTTAATATATATTTGGGAATTTGGAGATGTCGAGATTTGGACATGTGGAGATTTGGACACGTGGAGATTTGGACATGTGGAGATTTGGACATGTGAAGATTTGGACATGTGAAGATTTGGACATGTGAAGATTTGGACATGTGAAGATTTGGACATGTGAAGATTTGGACATGTGAAGATTTGGACATGTGGAGATTTGGACATGTGAAGATTTGGACATGTGGAGATTTGGAAATGTGGAGATTTGGACATGTGGAGATTTGAACATGTGGAGATTTGGACATGTGGAGATTTGGACATGTGGAGATTTGGACATGTGGAGATTTGGACATGTGGAGATTTGGACATGTGGAGATTTGGACATGTGGAGATTTGGACATGTGAAGATTTGGACATGTGGAAATTTGGACGTGTGGAGATTTGGACGTGTGGGAATTTGGACATGTGGAGATTTGGACATGTGGACATGTGGACATTTGGACACTTAGACATTTGGACATGTGGACATGTGGACATGTGGACATCTGGACATCTTGACATCTGGACATGTGAACATATAGACATTTGCTCATGTGGACATGTGGACATTTGCACATGTAGATATTTAGACATTCAAAAATATGAAAATTTAGGGATTTTAACAATTTGGTAGTATTGTAAATTTGGAAAGTAAATCACCAAACGCCAATCATTCTCACAACAACCATAAGTTCGATTATATTTCATGTACCGTTGAGATTTCACATAACGTTGTGAAGGAGCAGGATATTTAATCGTATCGATCTTGAATTTTCTATTACACGAAAAGCGTTTCTAGCTGCCTCTTACCTCGTATCAGTAACGCCGTGAGCATGACGTAAGGGAAAAGGGCGGTGAAGTAGACGACTTTCCCGATGGACTGGACACCACGCATCAGGCACAGGAAGCAGATTATCCAGGCGAGGGTGAGACATCCCAACAATTCCCATCTTATGCCTCCGAAATGTTCCCACGTGGCTCCCCGTACACCCAGCACATAGTCGCTGGATTCGATCAACGATAACATCCGATCACGATTACATGTTTTACCTTTCTCCGCGATTTTCTTGTTTAGCGCCGTCCATCTTGTTTAGCGCCGAACGGTGCTCAGACGGCCAACAATATAGACACGGAGCTTGTCATCCGATTACTGAGAGTCGCTGCGCGAAACGAATCAATCCGAGACACGAATAAATTCATGTACTCGTTTCGGGGAACGGAGTTAGGTTAGATAGGTGGAAAATTTGGGGATTTTGGGGAATTTTGGAATTTAGAGATTTTGGGAATTCAGGAATTTGGGGAATTTGGGAAATTTAGGGATTTGGGCAATTTGGAGAATTTGGAGAATTTAGGGAATTTGGGGAATTTTGAGAATTTTGAGAATTTTGAGAATTTGGAGAATTTGGAGAATTTAGGGAATTTGGGGCACTTGGGAAATTTAGGGAATTTAGAGATTTTGGAAATTTAGGAATTTGGGGGATTTGGGGAATTTAGGGATTTGGGGGATTTGGGGGATTTTGGGAATTTGGAGAATTTGGGGATTTGAGAATTTGGGGCACTTGGAGAATTTGGGAAATTTTGAGAATTTAGGGAATTTGGGGCACTTGGGAAATTTAGGGAATTTAGAGATTTTGGAAATTTAGGAATTTGGGGGATTTGGGGAATTTAGGGATTTGGGGGATTTGGGGGATTTTGGGAATTTGGAGAATTTGGGGATTTGAGAATTTGGGGCACTTGGAGAATTTGGGAAATTTTGAGAATTTAGAAAATTTGGGGCACTTGGGAAATTTAGGGAATTTAGACATTTTGGAAATTTAGGAATTTGGGAATTTGGGAAATTTAGGCATTTTGGGGATTTGAGGAATTTGGAGAATTTGGGGAACTTGGAGAATTTGGAACATTTAGGGAATTTTGGGCACTTGGGGAATTTAGGGAATTCGGAGAATTTGGAAAATTTGGGGAATTTTAGTACTTTGGGGAATTAGTTTTAGGGAATTAATTTTGAGGGATTACTTTGCAAAACAGAAACGAAAAATCCTTAACCTTCCTAATTTTTATCTAACCTCAATTTATAAATAAACTAATTAATAAAAGTGTATCTTACTTGTAATATTCTTCCGAAGACAGTACCCGTTTATAAAGTTGTCGAAGCGGTTCAACCCTGTCGCCATCGAAACAATACGTAACATTACCTCCATGAAAACCAAGACTCTGGCAGACATCTTTCGCAGGCAAACAAGTTCTGTTATAAAATATCATCCCCGAGTCGATTTGTTGACACTCGATCTCCTGCAGTCCGCTATAACAATCTGTAAAATTCGATATTATGATCCTATATCTGAGATCTAATATCGTTTAACTCGGTTTCGCGATAATTACGAGGCAGCCATAAAACCTTCTTTAAAGGCTGCTGTTGATTAAAACGAAATGGCTGTCGTTCGCGGAATATGACGTATTATAAAACTGATACTCTTCGGTTTAATATTAAACACTACAGCTACGCGAGTGTACGTATACAGGCTGTTAAAAGAGGTTATGTCTTTGAGGATGTGATACGAGTATATTTTCTCTTCCATTTTTTTCATATTTTTCGTTCCTGCTTTTCGTGTAGAAACTCTATTTCAAGGGATGAAATTTTTGTGGTGTATGAATAGGAGAAATAGTACATTTTTATAAATATTATATGTGTGTAGTTGTATTAGTGACTGTGTATTTTAATAATATTTTAATAACAATCAATGTATGTGTAATGACAGATGTATGTATAATTCATATTTATAATAATGAATATATGTTATGGAATGTAATAAAATAATGTGGATTTTCCTCTTTGTTTTGATTATTTTTGTATGTCACTTTTGAAACGTCCTGTACTTCTTTGCTTTGACGATTTCTGTATAATTTTGGGAATGATCTGAACTTTTCCTATGTTAAGACAATTTTAAAACGTCACTTGAACATGATTTTCTTTGTCTTCATAATTTGTAGACATGACTTTTGAAACGTCCTGTACTTCCTCGTTGTTGTAACAATTTTTATATGTCAATTTTGTGAACGATCTGTATTTTTCTTATGTTAAGACAATTTTAACTTGTCACTTGAACATGTTTTTCTTTGTCTTCATAATTTGTAGACATGACTTTTGAAACGACCTGTACTTCCTCGTTGTTGTAACAATTTTTATACGTCAATTTTGTGAACGATCTGTATTTTTCTTATGTTAAGACAATTTTAACTTGTCACTTGAACATGTTTTTCTTTGTCTTCATAATTTGTAGACATGACTTTTGAAACGACCTGTACTTCCTCGTTGTTGTAACAATTTTTATACGTCAATTTTGTGAACAATCTGTATCTTTCCTATGTTAAGACAATTTTAACTTGTCACTTGAACATGTTTCTCTTTGTCTTCATAATTTGTAGACATGACTTTTGAAACGTCCTGTACATCTTCTTTATTGTAACAATTCGTATTCATGAATTTTGTGAATAACCTGTATTTTTCCTACGTTAAGACAATTTTAATATGTCTCTTAAACATGCTTTTCTTCGTCTTCATAATTTGCAGACATAACTTTTGAAACGTCCTGTATTTTTCCTTCACTTGAACAATTTTTATACATCAATTTTTTTAAACGTCCTGTATTTTTCCTTCCCTTGAACATCTTTCATACATCAATTTTTTGAAACGTCCTCTATTTTTTCTTTGTTTTAACAATTATAACCCACCACATTTTGAACGTCCTGTACTTCTACCTTTGCCCTGACAATATTAACGCGACAACTTTTTAAACGTCCTGTACACATTCACGAGAATACTTTGTTACGATCGTCAGGAGACCAGGACTAATTATACTAGCGCTTTGTTGCCCTCCATCGTTTATTTTAGAGCTACCTCGTTCTACAAGGGATTTCCGGTTTCAAGAGCTCTCTTATGCGTTCGCACGTGCTCACGTTTTAATGATAATGTCATTAAACGTGGCAATAAGCGGCTCGAAACGCTCCTTTGTTAGTCAAACCAAGAAAAATAGAGAGACTGTCCTCGACTATTATTACAATTCTACTAATTACAACATTTAGATGCTTTCGTTTATCAACGGACTATTTTTCATAATTAACGCTTGAAATCCACCTTCATTTTCTCATGTGTGGATTTATTTTCTTCACGGGTGTTTAATTTTTGTATTTTGTAAGCGACAAAATTTTTACACTTCGAATTAACAAATATTTGTATTAACTGTGACTTTGTTTATAATCAAAGGAACTGTACAATAAAATATATGACCAATTATTTATATTTCTGTTTTAACCTAAAAATAAATAATTTTGCTGTTGATTTCAGGAATTAATGAAGAGGAAATAGTCTAACAAGAAAACAATATTTGATACCGTAGATTAGTTTAATTAGCAGCGTGCCTGTGTGAATCTAATTCGGGGATTAATGAGGCATAGAATATCGATAACATAATACGAAATAGGTAGGTATTATTCGCTATTAATACTGTACATCCCAACCCACAGCTTTCAGATCTATAACCATGTGCACAAAAACTTGTTCATTCAAAATGACAACTATTTTTTAGATAACATTCATTATGAAAAATAGTGATGATGAATAAAACCGTATTATCATTATTTGATACTTCTATATCTCACTACAAGTACTCAAGTTTCTTCCTTGTATTATAAAGTTGCGATCTACCCTTTAACAAAATTAATATTTCGGACGTACTTTATAAGTGTACCAAGTTTGAACAAAATCGGTGAGTCCAAAGTTTCCATAAATCGCACTTACCGTTCGTATTAAAATCGTTGTCGCAGTAGGCCCACTTCAGCTTCGGCATGAACGAAACGAAAGTGTAGAAGAGAGTCCAAGCCACGATCACCATGTAGTAAACCATTACCAACAAAATGACGACGAGGGTGCCGTAACCGACACCCTGAAAAGCTGGTGCTATTCGGGTGAACGCTTTGTTAGGCCCGAGTCCAGAATACTGTCCAATTGCCAGTTCCAGAAAGAATATTGGTAGTCCCATTGTTATTAACATTAAGATGAACGGTATTAAGAAGATGCCTGCAAATATCAAGTATGATAATATTAGGTACATGAAAGTCAACAATATCACAGCGTAAACCAGTGGCGGCACTTTTCTCTTTGCAAAAATGGGGTTTGATTTATCGTTTCTGAGTCATGAAGGTTTCATCATTTCTTAATCTTGAGTTACTGGGTTTAATCATGAAGTCTTCAAGTCCAACTTCCCAAATTAAAAAATTCAGAACTGTAAAAGTACTTAAACCCATCACTATCAAGTTGAAAAATTCAGAAATGTTAAAGTACTTAAACCCATCACTACCAAGCTGAAAAATTCAGAACTGTAAAAGTACTTAAACCCATCACTACCATGTTGAAAAATTCAGAAATGTTAAAGTACTTAAACCCATCACTATCAAGTTGAAAAATTCAGAAATGTTAAAGTACTTAAGCCCATCACTATCAAGTTGAAGAATTCAGAAATGTTAAAGTACTTAAACCCATCACTACCAAGTTGTAAAATCCAGAACCTTAAAAGTACTTAAACCCATCACTACCATGTTGAAAAATTCAGAAATGTTAAAGTACTTAAACCCATCACTACCATGTTGAAAAATTCAGAAATGTTAAAGTACTTAAACCTATCACTACCAAGTTGAAAAATTCAGAACAGTAAAAGTACTTAAACCCATCACTACCCAGTTGAAAAATACAGAACTACAAAAGTACCCAAACCCAATACTAAATTAAAAAATTGAAAACTACAAAAGCATCCAAGATTCCCAAATTGTTGAACCTGAATTTCAACGTGTCAAAATTTGACTCTAAAATCCCAAATTCCGAAAGTCGCAAAGCCGTGAGCAATACATCAATTTAAAAACGATTACAAAACTCGTTGTGCGCCGCGGCGATTTCGGCTTTCATCGATGACCGCACAGATAAACGTTCGCGGCGAATCGTTGAAATTTATCGCGTACCGGCAACGGATGTTAATTAAAATTTATCAGAGCTCTGATTAACGCATTGAAATAACGTTACAATGGAGAGGTTAAAGCGGCTCTGTGGTGCCTCTGTTTCTCTGTTCCCCCATCTTTCGTTCGAGGCTGCCGGCGAAACAATGAAGAGCGGGTCTGCGTAAACAGAAAAGAACAAAACGGCCGGAGTGGAAGTAAAATAGAATAATTAAAAGCCAAGTGTTCTCTGGATGCTGGGTCGTCTCTCTTTTTCATCGTTTAGCAAATAAACCGACGCGTCGCGACGCCCAGCGTCGGGGGACGCGACCGCGTCAACAGGCACAACCGCACGCACGCAGTCACGAAAGATTTATTAAATTTTCCCCGAACGACCCAGTCACGATCTGCCAAACTACGCTTAATTATTCGAATTAACCGCTTCGTCGCGTCGACAACGAGCGACGTGTCGCGTCTGCTCTCCTTTAGGCTCCTGCTTCCTCTTTTCGGGGAAACTCATATGGAAAGAAAGTTTGTGACATATCGATGTGGTAACATAGATTAGGTTGTAGGTCAGTGTAGAATAAGATAATATAGGGTTGTATTGACAATTTGTAGTCTAAGGGCGATTTAAGAAATGTCTAAGGGATGTTTAAGAGATTCAATCATTTCAAATCTATCACTTTGCACAATTCAATCATTTCAAAATCAACTTCCAAATTTCTAACCTACAAACTCAACTATTTCCATCAACTCAAGAATTTCAAAAGGTAGCTCAAATCTGGGACCATCAGAAAATTCATATACTTCAAATTTAATTACTTGACAAATCCAGAACCACAAAATTCACAAATTCATCGATATACTTCAGTAACATACAAACTAAAATATCATCGTAATTCCCCCTACAATAGTTCACGTCCCCGTTACATAATGTTCCTACACTGCTCATAATTCAGCCTGGCATCTCTCCCTATATGGCCACCCGCTGTGATACACCCTGTATGTACAAACACGTATGTATACGTACCGCCGTCATTAAGATATACGAGGTAAGGGAAACGCCAAACATTGCCAATGCCAACGGCATACCCGATGCAGGATAAAACAAACTCGATGGGGTTGGCCCAGCTACCCCGTTCAGGATCCTCTGGCAGCTGCACCAAGGCACCACCGACCCCTAGCGAAATCCTCTTTACCTGCCAATAACACGGGCCACGTCATATTTGCGTCATAGAAATTATCGCGGCGGTATACAAAGGGAAGAAGCCTGGAAATCGTGAGCTCGGAAGAGAAGATCGCGAGAGCCTCGAAGCGAATCTGAAGAGGATCCGCGAGGCGTGCGAAGCGAAAACGGGGGGTTATAGAATATGCGAGACAATACGGATGGAACGTGGATAATGCAGAAAGTGGGAAAGCGAAAGCGCTTCCGGAAGGACCGTTCAAGGTATTTACGTAACGAGATTAGAGGAACGCTCGAATCGAGCGAATTTATCTCGGAAGTCTAAGCGACTGCGAACATCCATGGTTTAAGAATATACTAGAACGGTGGACCGATACTGAGTCGACTTCCGGGGCCTCTTGCGGCGAAATACGAGAAACGGTCCCTTCTATGGCGAGACGAGGACAGTTTCGACGCAAAATTTTCGAGAAGCAACATTTTCTCCCACTTTCCCAAAATATTCCTCGCGCCATCGAGCCCGATTTTGCGGCTCGACCCTCGACAATTTATTAAAAATGAAAATATATTTTTACAACGTTTCGAGGGCCAATTCGCGGGATCGGGCGCCGTATCGAGCCGCGCGATTATGCGAAGAACACTTCGGGAAAGAAAGCGCGGGAAAGTGTTGCTTGTTCGCGCGAAAATCAGCGTTGGCGAAATTGTTGCTGTCTCGTCCATTTTCGCAGGAGAGACAGAGATCCGGAGCTTCTCGGTTTCGTCACCAGATGCGCTTCGACGTTCCGGACTGATAATCCAAGCTGCGAACACGGATAAGAAACTTTGTTCTTTTACGTGCGTCGCGTTACATGGCACACGCGGTATTTTGATTTCGGAGCCACGCAAGCGAAGCCATTCAACGAAGCGAGAGCTTGTGTACTCTGCGGAAACAACGGTAAACCGAAATCCGCGGAGCTTCGTTTGTACGGTTGATTGGAAATTCTATTCCTTCGGAGATTCGAGGACGTCTGCGATTCTATGACGCTGTTCTTTCCGAAAGCGGGAACGAGGAAACTTGAAGCAGATTCTGGTTGAGTGGCGGGAGTGTGATTGCTGCGTAGCGATAAAAGGAGTAGGCAGTATATGTCGGTTTGAGGATGGGTTGTGGAGGTTGATTTGGGGAATTGAAGGGTGGAGATTTGAGGATTTGGAAATTTGGAGATTTGGGAATTTGGAGATAGAGAATGTAGAAATTTAGGAATGTAAAAATATCCAAATTTGAGAATTTGTTTATTTCAATTCAAATTATTTAAATTTGACATGTATTCAAAATTGCTAACTATGAGACAGCTAATAATAACCCGATCTATCTAGATGCAAAAGCTTGTACTGTGACATATTGCAACATGGATTAATATAAAAACGTCGACCAGAAGACCGAAACAGACATGCTGATAACGTTAGTGACAATGTTCGTTTCTTATCTTTGTTGTGGAATATTAAAGAGTGCATAAATGGCGCTTCTATAGTGAAGGTCGTTCAAAACAGTACCTCTATTCATAATAGTAAAATGCATATATGATTGATTTCTTATAGACTAAAGGTATGTATTTAGGAACAGTAATATTTAGGGATAGTAATTAGGGATAGTAGTTATAGATATTTGAGGATGTAGAAATTCGGAATTATAAAGATTTAGAAACATAGAGATTTGACAATTGTAAAATTTAAGGATACAGTGATTTGAGATTTGTGTAATTTGGGAATACATAAATTTGAACATGTAATAATTAGCCAACATAAAAATTTGAGGACATAAAAGTTCAAAAATATATGGATTCGTAGATACAAAGGTTCAAGAATAAATCAGCCTATAATAACCAAATCCACTGAGTCAAACACTACATCACAGGAAAATAGTACATAAATCTACGAATACACATATGGAATCCAAAACTGACATACAATGCACTCACACGTCTCGCGTCCCAAATATTTGAAGACCATACTAATAACACCCCACTCCGCACGACATTACCATGGCGGCGTGTCAATATAATACCCGGTAACACTGTACGCGTGAAGGATTAAGCATAACGGCAAATAAACAAATGCCGGTAGCAATCGTCGGTGCCGGTTGAATGACGCATCCAGCAACAGTACCCCAGCCTCCAAAGCTCCGCACTCAAAGGGTTGACGAGCTGCCATCACACCGTTTTCACGAGAGGACACAGGTTTTAGCGAACGGGATTTTAGCACGATAGGTATATCGCCGGTATCGAACGCGTCCCAACGGAGGGATACTCGTCCGTACGCGTGACACCTGACAGACCATTGTCCAACGACGAGTTTCCACGTTGTTGCTGCTGCAGTTTGTTGCTCTCGTATCGCAATGCCAGCTTACCTTCGGTGCGTTTTCCTTGACACTCGTCATGACAAGCGGCGTTGGAAAGGGGCGAAAAAAACGTGTTTCACAGTCGAGACGAGGTTTTCACGGGATGTGCGAGATATCGCGGTGCGTTCGACACCGCGAGCGCGATCGTCTGAACAGGTCTCGCTCTTAGACAACTATATAACGCTCAGATAATCGAGATAATCAGGCATTATCGAGAACGTGGTCGCAATTGATAAAGGCGATAGTTTGAAAACCATTAAGACTGGATTTACGAGATGCGTCATTTTCACTCATCTCGAATTTTTTGACAAAAATTACGGAAACCATTCGCACTTTTATTGCGAACTATTGTCTTGTACTGACTTTTATCGAGTGAACGAGGTAAATTTTGAAGTCTACTTTCTTTGAAAGCTTTGAAATATTGAAATTTGCTATGCGGTATACTTGTCTCTGGTGATTAGAGGAAATAGTGGTACATCGGGTAGTTTCGGGCGCGCTCGGCTTGAGTCGTGTTTCGCGGTCCGTGCTGTACTTATATAAACGGTGAGATGAACGTTCAATCAGAAGTGAATGAACCACTGTCTTTGCACCGTATATGAAGATAAATGAAGACGAATAAAAGAGATAATAGAAACTGTAAGAAATAAACAGAACAGAATATAAATAAATGGGTAAATTAAATAAAGCAAACAGAAGACAAGGTTTATGCAAATTGGAAAACAAAAAATTTTTGTAATGTACATAAATCAAAAAATACGAATAAATGAATGAAATATGTGAATTATATATTATATATTTTTTCGGTTTCTTTTTAATTTTTGTTAAATAATTTTGTTTGTATTTTTTGTAAATAATCGGAAACTGTTATATATGCACACTTTACATATTTTATTTATTTATTTATTTATATCTGTTTGTACTAACAAGAGTCTTTAGTCTTTCCTATAATTTTACACATGTACAATGCACATTACATATTTTATTTATTTATATTTATATTTATGTATTATTAAAAAGTTTCTTATTTTTACAATTAACGCAAGCTTGTCTTTTAATTACAATGCAGAAACTTGCTTAAATAACGTTTAAATATTTTGGTGCAACATAAGACCATGCTGCCGTGTCACGTGATCCGAATAGCAGCGGAGAGAACCGAAGACACCCGAAGTACCACTACTCTGTTTACCGCGAAACTTATTGCCTTGACATTTACACTCTTCCACCAAATAAAATAGTGTTTTAGTCGGTAAACGGTACGGAAATGTTTGTCCCCAGCTCGATTTCGTTCGGACACGATTTGGTAATGCGATATTAAAAGCGTGGTCGAGCGTCGAATCGATCTAGCATCGTTCGCGACGCGACAGGTGTTCGAGAACGGTTTAACATCGACCGACACGTTCTCGCCGAGATTTTGTTTGATTATCGGCGTGGTACAGTCGAGTGCAAATTTGGGGAAATGTGACAATGGGGTGGGAGGTTTACTCTGTTTTTGTATGAATTTTAAGGAATTTGAAGTGAAAGGAGTGGGTTAGGAGTTTGGAGATTTTGGAAGTTGAGGAATTAGAGTCTTAGAGATTTAGACCTAGAAATTTGAAGACATGGAAACTTATGGACCTAGGGATTTGAAGACATAGATATTTATAGATCTGGATTCTACAAACGTAGTAGTTTGTTGATCTAGGGACTCGGAGATGTAGA